ATAGCATACCATTATTTACCCCATGAGAGCAAATGTGCTTTTTGCGCACACACAGAGTGTTTGCAAGTGGATCCCAGGCATTCCGCAGTCCCTTTTGCCTGCAATTAAAAGGGAAGCACGGGTCCCCAAAACTGCAAGCGGCTTACAATACCCGTTTAAGCAATTTGGACCCTGGGTGCAAGTAGCCTCCAAAACCATGGATTGGGAACTTGCTTGCTTGACCCCCTGGGTGCATGAAAGCCACGAGAAGGCTGTTTGCCCAGGGTTACTAACCACTCGCGAAGCACGATTGACATGTGGACTCTTCAAACCACGTCTGCCCGCGAAACTAGGAAAAGTGAACCCTGCATCGCCCAGAGCGGCGTAGCCGTTGAGGCGGTAGCCCGGGAGGAAGTTGCTCTCCTCGATGTCCTGTAACGCTTGTGCGATGGAGGGCTCCACCATAGTCATGAGATCTCCGAGGCCACCGACGTAGGGATTGATCACCGCCACATTGATGTCCTCAAATTTGCGTGCTCGGGTTTTTGGAACAGGGGCTTGGGGCTTGAAAGCTTGGGGGCTTGGAGCTCGAGAATTCGAACTCGGAACCACCTCGTTGGATCAATGCCAATACCAACCTGTGCCATGCCATGTTTAAGGAGTACGCAAGCCTCAAAAATACTCGTCACAGTGCAGGCGGGTTCCGCTTCGAGTTGGAGGATACATCTTGCGATGAGGGTGGGGCTGGGAGTTCGCGTTTGAGGCGGGGGGGCGCGGGAGTTCGAGTTCAATAGGGGTACCCAAGGGTGAGAACCTTAGGAGGGGCGCTTCGGAAAAATCTTAGGGGGCTTGTGCGCTAGGAAAGCTGATGCGGGCACGGCCCCACGGCCTGATTGTTGGGAATGGAAAAGTTACCCTTACCATGACACCCCTCGGTGGAATGCGATCACCTGGACACAGGATGCCAGTCTTGATCCCCTCACCGATTCCCACAACGCGATGTCCTCAGCAGAGGACCGGGCTGCACTTGGGCTTACGCTGACCATGCAGTTGTTGCCATGATAGCGGCAGGGAAAAGAAGACCCGTCCAACGTCGCTGTGCAAGAGGAGGGGCAAAGGGAACGTGATGCCACCAGACGGCCCAGAGCGACACTTAGCGTCAGCGGGAAGGACGGCATTGTGGGAGGTTTCGTCAATCAAGATTTCAAAAGCTGCAAAGCCTCAGTGAGAAGCACCTCTCTCTTCAGTGTGAGTGTGTCAGAACCAGTTTGGATTGCTGTTTTTGACACTTCCCAATCCACACAAACAACAGCGCACATCTTCAGGAGTGCGCTTTAAGCCAAAGGCTAGCGCATGGACCGATGCGCGGAGCTGAACATCTGAACGGCCCCGGTTACGTTTCTTCGACGCTCATCGAATCAGCAGTTCCCAACCCCTGGTTGGCCAAACATGGACTTCTCCAGGCCGTTTGGCGTCGTTCAGAAACAATTCCCCAAACCTTCAGGCCCGCGCAAGCAGACCCATAGTCCACAAATGTTCACCCACTTCCGAGGGAAGAACCATGAACGAAGAAAGTGAAGCCAAAGTTCAAGGGATCCCCCCCCCCTTTCTCTCATAACATTGATTGGTTGATTCCCACCCAATGACTTCTAGCGAGGCTTCGGACTCAGGTTGTGCTTTGGGCTCGGCTCAGCCTTTACGCTTGTCAAAGCTGAACAGGGCTGTGGGAAATGGAATCCACTTCTGTGATACAAAAAGGGCCTCCCAAAGACCAACCCCCCATATAAAGAGGGGATTCCCTTGTATCACAGAAGTGGGGATAAACCCCTGGATCCCACAACCCTGAAGCTGAACGGGACTCGCTCGATCATTCTCATCCTACACAGCGTTCACAGCGTTGGCCACAACTCAAGGTTGGAACGTCTTTGAAACTTCTCCAAGCCCCGCTTCCAAGGCACGGTTGTGGAGAATTGTTTGGGGCCGGCCCTGTTGTCTTGATTGATGAACTGCTGGTTGAAAAACGTGCCGCTGCACCTGCTGCCGGATTTTTGCGTCGATGTTTTTCGCTGACCATCGATGCGGGCGCAGGCGAATACCCGCCGCGGAGCCGCAAAAACCGGCCGGCCCCCGGAGTTGCGTTCGGATCTCCGGCCTCGTCTGGGTCTTCATAGGTTGCATCGTCAGCCCCGGGGCAACCGTACCAGCGGTACGGTTGATAACCTACAGTTGCACATGGGCAAGTTAGCCACAAGTCTACCTATGTATCAAGTGCACGCTTTGTGTTGCTTGAGCCATTCACCGCGCAATGGTTTCCTGGATCTGTAGCGTACAGTTGGGAAAACCCAGCGACAACATATGAGCCCGTTTCAACCAGCTGCGCGGACTGCGCCCAGTGGCCTCTCTGACAGAAAGCCACCCACCTGAGCGTCAGGAATCTCCAAGCGTCCTCTGAGATTCTTCTCGGGTCGCTCTCATCTCTCCATGGCACTTGCGTTTCTCGCCGCCCACGCGGCGGAAAGAGTTTCACGAAGGGCAAGTGTTGCTGTGGCAGAGAAAGCACTGGATGCCCAAAGGAAGGCCTTCAACTGTCCACTGGGGACCCTCAAGGGTCGGTCATTGTTGAAAGGCTCGAGGCAACCATCAGGGGTTTAGAGGCACTTGTGTGTCTTCTTGCAAGCCCGAGCCACCTCGCCCAACCCCAACACAAATCTGCCGTTTGACGCAGAGAAGACAAAAGTGCGGGTGTGGCCCAAAATGCTGGACGCCCCCCCTTTCCGCTAAACAAAACTCTCTGCCTTTTTTCCGGTTCAAACACCCCAAGGTCACGTGGCCAGCAGCAAGGCTTCAACACAGCGCATTCATTACACGCCGGAAGTGCCCCCCCTTTTTCAACAGGATGGAACCCAAGAACAGAGTATGCTCAAGATGTCTTCTTTTTGCACGGAGCGGCACGCGTTCCGCACGGGATTCAGGCACCAGCCACAATCCACGGGCCAAATCTGGAAGTTTGGCGGGCGGCTGCCAATGGGAATCATGAAGCCCGGGGCCAAATCTGGAAGTTTGGCGGGCGGCTCGCCAAAAAAGCCACCTTTGGTGGGGGGGGCCAAACTTCCTGCTAGTTGTACACAAAGAAAACCTAGAGCCTGCTTGCGGCTTCTCGGCAGGATCTCTTTTTGAGGTTTTGGAATTCTGGGAAGCCACGGAAAATGATTCATTTTCGATGTTCAGCCCATTCCCTGCCAATAAACCAAGCACTGAGAGCAGCTTTGCGCTCTCATGCCCTTTGGCTGGATGCCAAAAAAGCCCAAAAGTACGTCTCGGCCCACCCAGATAGCCTCACTCGCAATGGGAATCATGTCCCACGGAACGAAGCCCGTGTATATCTGTGCAATTTATGTCCAAACTTGGTTGGAGAAAAGGTCGCGGGTGGGCCTTGGTACTCTTTGGTTACAGATGGATTCATGGATCCGCCAAAGTCATGCCGTGCCTTCGCATTTCCTATGCGGTTCGCGCAAGGAACCCAATGGAATTTACAAAATTCGAAACTAAATCAATCACGGATAGTCCTTATGTCTCGCGGAGGATGCTTCCCCTCAACTTGGCCCTTCAATGCTGGCAATTACATTGGAGATCCAATCACACAGAAGCTACTGAAAATAGTGCCCATAGCTGTGAGTTATGTGGTTTGGAAGAAGGCACGACTTCGCAACCTGTTCATGGTGTTCATGGTTTTCGCCGATTCCTCAAACGGCACGACTTTGTCAAATCCCCGCACAAAGCATGGGCTTGAGCCGTCGCAACTGGCCAATGCTTATCTTGTCCACTCCGCCTAAGCCCGTGACAGCACGCTGTTCTCGTCGCCAGAAACGAAGAGGAAAAGAAAAAACGATAAGGAGAAAAAAAAGACCGTCCTTTAAAAGCTTTGCCAAGAAGCTTAAAACAAACAATGGGAGAAACGTTGAACAAAAACAGCGGCATGTCAAACTTTCGTTGGGTCCTGGGCTTGTCGGGAGGCCCTCTCATTCCTCAACTTGGCTCTTGCGATCATGATCCCGGCTCCACAACATGCCAGCACTAAACAGCCGGTCGTGCCGTAGGCGGCAGCAAATACCCAGGGAGCTGTGTCGGTTGCCCGCACGTCAGGAATGGCAAACAAAGCAGCTGCCGCATCCAAGTCGGCCAACAAATCCTGGGTTCGAACCGCGAAATTTGGGTCGACTACTTAGCGCAACTAGCCTTTCAGCGGAGTCAGAACCACGCCATGCGACCATGTCTCTGACCGATGTCCGAACAAACAAACGTCGTTTGCTTTTGAAAAAACGTCGGTTTTTTGAACACCAGCGATGCAAAGGATCAAAACTTGTCCAAAGCAACTTCTTTCGCGCCTGCAAAGCTGCTTCCATGTCCAGTTGGCTGCTGCCTTGTATCAGAACTCCTTTGAACCTGGCCCAGGACAGCTGCACGGCCTCCAGGGATGGGGGTTGATCAATGTTTCATTTAGGCCTCAGCTTTGACCACGAGTAACTTTTTCTCATGTGGTGAAAGTCATCTTTGTTGGTTTCCTTCATGGTCACCTCATATAAAGGACCTTTTGATCAACCCCCATATGCTAAACCCTCAAAATGTTGCTGGCATCTGATTTGTTGTCTTCAGTCCGTTCTTGGGAAATTCGGCTTGGTTGGCGGCTTGGTGGCCTGGTGGCTTGGAACTTGGGGCTAGCTTCCCATTTGATTACCCTAAACCAGAAGCCAGGGGTTCAAATTCAATCCAAATCAAAAAAAATACGCGGAACCTGAAAAGTGGTGAATGAACTTGGGAAAACTATGAGATCATGTGGCACTGGTGGGTTTTGTCGGAGCTCAAAAGGGCGAGCTTCCCCGCAACCCCGAAAAAGGAAAGAAAAAAGGCTCCAACATCAAATTCCCTCCTTTTGTGGAGCCAAACAACTCCCAAGAGCAGAACCTCTCCGATTGCGCTCACGGGGGCGTTGTTTTCTCGGGGTGAAAATTCATTCCCGCGCCTCCCACTGGGTGAGCAGATCCCTGCGCTCCAGCATGATGGCTCTGGGCACTGGCCCACCCCCGTCCTGCTGGAAAAAAAAGCAGCAAGGCCTTGAGGAAAGAGCAAGCTTGAGGGGTTCCAGACAGTTGATGCTTGCGAAATCCAGAAATCACACCACCTTTCAGAAACCGCAATGATTCGATGTTCCCGTAAATACCAACCAACCACGGCTTCAACCATGGTTTCCAAGTCGTGCAGGATTTCGTCCATCCACAGTACCTGTAAAATCATCAGAGAGCCAACCAAGAACCACTTCTAGGTGGGGGGGACCTGTATTGGACACAACAAATATGACATATTCCACCGTACTCCCTCTGGGGAAGGGTCCCTGCACAGGCAAACTAACATCACCAGCATCAAACCCAGCACCACCAGCAACTGGCGCCGTACCTAGCATTGCAAGCATCACCAGCAAGGTCGGTTCAGCATACCTTGCAGGGAGCTTTCAGATGCTGGGACAACACTCAGTCCTCGCACAAACACTTGGCATCACCAGGAACTAGGTTGCATCGGCAACAACCCCACTAATTACGCACAGCTGCTTAGATTAGCTGCCTGTCCGTGTCTCTGCTGTGGAAATCATAAACAAACGAAAAGGTCTCTACCTCTGAGCTGCCTGGCCTTTCAAGAAACAAACACGCGCAAGAAACAAAAAGCCCTTTAGTTTTACATGGGCTGCATAGGTCGCGAGCTCTCGAGCAAGTAGTCAGAAGCTTGGGAAGGCTCCCGCAACTATCAGAGCCGCTCAGCTTGCGGCAAAAGCATGGGTCAAACAAAAGGTCGCTGCACATGGACAAATGCAAGCAAATTCCCACCCAGAGCCAGAAGCGGGAGCTAACCACAAACGGGAAGGAAGCATCTCCACCTGTCCAGTTCTTGCACGAAACATGAACGGAGTCAAACCAGAGGTGCGGTTTACAGAAGCAAGAAACATCTCGCCAGCTTGCTTCAGCCAAGTCGGTGAGTCTTAGGTGGCAAGCGGGAATCCTCCAAGACTCCAACCCGTTCCCCGCGTGGGCTGGAAACGGGCTGGAAACCTCAACCGACCTGCGTCCTTCAGCTGGAGCCCCAGTCCTTCAGCTGGATCTGGGCCGTCTCGAACTGATTCATCGTCGACTGCATGTCGCTGGTGCCGGTAAGTTTGTACGTCGCCAGCAGCGCCTCTTTGTAGGCCCTCAACGCACATCGACTCAACAGTCAGAAACCTCCGTAGCTGCTTTTTTCTGCGTGGAAAACACTTCAGCGGGGTGCGTGTTTGTCACGCTGGCTCGCTCGAAAGGGAGTGTTCTTAAAGGGAGACCGAAGAGATCCATATTTTGAGGCTCAGTACCCTTTCTAGGGTTGTCAAGAGGCAACCAAAATATCCGTCCACGCCCAAAAGCTCACAAGTTATCCAGGAGGCGTTTGAGCCAGCACAGACTGCCACATCGCCACTTGAACTCTTTGCGCTGGAAAGGATGGCTCTTGCTTCAGCACTTCATCCGCGTACCTTGGAATTACTCGGGCCAGCCGGAACGTCAGGCTGATAAGGACCAATGTTGAGTTGCAAAGGCAACCCATTTTGAAAGGTTTACCACTTTGGAGGTTCTCTGAAAGGGAAACCTTTTGGAGCTATTCAAGGGCAAACGAAAAGGGAACCTGAATCCCATTTTGGTGGTTGCCAAAATGGTGTTCACACGTGTGCCGCAAAAACGTCCCCAAAAGGAGTTACCGGTTTGACCCCACAAAAAGACCATGTGTTGTAGTTCTGGCGTGTGTGTTGGTGTGTGCGCGTGCTCCTTCTCGTATTTGGCTACGAACTTTCATAGGAAACCGCCTCAAACGTGGTCGGAGGTGAATCCACCTAGATGATGTCTACTAACAGGTCCCAAAAAGAATTGCTCGTGCCCATTCTCCCTAGCATGAAGTCTACTTTCTCCGTTGCGCCGACCGCAGCTAGCGGGGAGACAGCGCTGGGCAAGTCTGTTCGGGCCAACAAGAATGGTCTCCGTTGCGCCGACCGCAGCTAGCGGGAAGACAGCGCTGGCTGTTCGGGCCAACAAGAATGGGTTAAGGAGGGTGCATGAATGGAAGTGAAGTGGAACTGAATGGACATGAAGGGATTCTCAAAGGGAAAGGAATGGAACTGAAGTGAAAGCAAAGGCTGAAGGAAGATCAAGATAAATCAAGGGGACTGAAGGGAAATGAATGAAATTGAAGGAAAATGAAGGAAACTGAAGGGAAAATGAAGGGAAATGAAGGGAAATGAAGGGTACTGAAGGGTCATAAAGGGAAGTGAAGGAAAAAGAACGGAAAAGACGGGAGATGAAGGGAATTAATGGAAACGAAAGGAGATGAAGGGAGATGAAGAAGAGCTGGGAAATCAAGGGAACTGAAAAGAAATCAAGGGAACTAAATAAAGGGAAATCAAGGGAACTAACTGAAGGGAACTGAGCTTAAATGAAGGGAACTGAAGGGAACTGCAGGGAACCGAAGGGAAGTAAAGGGAACTCAAGGGAAATAAAAGAACATGAAAGGGAAGTAAAGGGAGATGCAGGGAACGGCAACCCACGAGGGCTTGAAGGAATGGGTAATCAAGCTGATCACTCCTTGAGGTCTGAAAAAGGACGGTCAGTATCCACGGAAAGCAGTGCCACTGCGAGTGGGTACCAGTTCCCGAAACGGATCTCAGTGGGAACAAACCAAGCTTCCCACAACCTGAACGGATAGAATCGGAATCCCAAACTGGGTTCTAACCAATCAGTATTAAACGTGCGACTGAGGTGTTGCAGCCTAAACCGGGTAAAAGGAGGTCTCCGAAACCGGCACCCAGAAGTCTAGTTGGGCGTGTCCTGGACCAAAACCCAAAACTGCCCCCACGGTTTCCAAACGGCGTCCCAGAAAACTCCCTCGAGAATCGGGTTCCCGAAGTTTCGCTTGGCGTGCGCTCGGCAAGCCACGTCTGCAGCAGGGCCTTCATCACATCCTGCGCTGGCCAAGACGTTCTTGCACAAAGCACCGTGTTGCTTCAGAAACTCGTTTCAGCCGTCAGTTTTCATGTCCCTCACGGACATAGGAATGACGGGAAGTGACTTTGTCGCTGACAAGTGTGCGGGGGGTGGGGGAAGAGGCTTCCCGAGACTAAACTTGAAGAGAGTTTCTTGCGCAAGACTGCACAAAAACACGCCAGACTAAACTAACTTTCATTGCTTGGGATGTGGGTTGGTGATGCTGGAGATGCTGACGGGTGATGCCAGGGATGGCTGGCGATGTTTTGCCTTCCCTAGCGTTCCGTTGCTTGCCCTTTCCCTTGCTTTCCATCGCTTTTGCTGTCTTTCCCTTTGCTTGCACCCATGCCACAGCTCAGGGCAGTGGCTGTCCGTTGCCTCCATGTCCAAAGTAGATGGTAAGTCGGGTGAGCGTGATCCATGGGCGTTCTACAAATGGGCAACCTCCGCAGAAAACCACCAACACGAAGAGAAAAAGATGGGCTCTGTGCTTCAAGCAACTTGCCGAAGAAGGTTTCCTTTTTCAAAAAGACCGGGGCCTTACTCATGAAATAAGCTTTCACTCGCACACACTAGCAAAAGGAAGGTTCCTATTACCTCTCACAAAAGAGGAAGCCCAGTTTCTTGAGGAAACAAAACTGGGTTCCATGTGTACTTCAATGCCGCCAACATGACGATTTCCCGGTGAGCTGGAAAAAGCTCCTTGATCAAAGAAAGCGAGCTCCAAGCCTTTGAACAAGTATGATGGTGTTTCGGGGGTCTGAAGCTTTTCAACAAAAACGCGCTGCAGGCTTCGAATCTTCCCTCTTTGCCCACCTTGCGGCGACTCACAATCCCTGGTTTATGGCAAACACCGCCAAACTGCTTTTTCTTTTTGAAGGTGCGCTAATGTGGTTTGTAGGCCCCCGCTTGGATGTTCAACCCACTTCTTAATTGGTCACAACCATAGTCACAAGTTGTAGCCAGAGGAAACTCTTTACATGTCCATAGAATATCAACCCAAGCCCCAAGAAATCTCCCGTCATATCGGGTCAGCGCCCAAAAACCGAAGCCCGGCTCGCTGGCTGCCCCGCCTCGAGGGCGCCCATGCGGCTGATCGCCTCTGCCAGGCTCGTCGCCCCCCGCAAAGCGGCCACAGCCGGCTGCACCACCTCTGCCATGCGCCTGGCCGAAGCGGCGATGGCTGCGTGGCGATGGCCGCTCCGAAGCGACTGGCCTCATTACTTCATGGTCAAAGTCACCCCCCAAGCGGTGGGTAGCGAAACAAACCCCATGTCTTTGATAACCCCCAGAAACCGTCAAAATCATGACCCCTGAGCGAAGCAGCCGCTTGGCGCAGCGCCAAACATGCCAGGCGAAGGTGCAACTGGGTCTGAAGGTGCAAAAGTGCCCCCAAGAATCAGCCGACACTCGAGTTCGGGCAAGATGCGAAAGCAGACCACATGAACCAAGAAAGGCTGAGCCGACGCGCCAGCATTCTTGGTCTTCACTACTTAAAGGCTCATAGTGCACGTGGACGAACCTCCCGTTCCTGCAAAGTTCTCATGGAACCAACGGTGCTGGGAAAAGCCGAATGGTGACCCAGGATTAATAACCCCCACAATTAGGGGGGATGTGGTGTTCCCTCCAAAAGTGATGAATCCCCACTAAAAGGGGACACCCCCCAATCAAAATCAACCAGGGGTTCTGCCGAATCCGGGGTTAACATGGCCATGGGTCAAAATCCAAATCGAACCCCCAGTGAACATCCCAATCCCCACTAAAATAGGTTCTAAAATGGGTGGTGAATTCACCCAACCAAAATGGGATCCCGTTTAACGGTTTTGACCACCGCCACAGCCCACGGCAGCCACAAAAACACGACCCAATAAGCCCAGCCTGAAGAGCTCCTGGCTCGGCTGCACGGGCAAAGGCGGCTGATCGGAGCCAAGCATCAGCCGCTCCAAGGACGAAGTGAGCTCCCCACGCTGCGC